TTTTAAAAAATTTCCTGGAAAAACTAAATGTAAAATACATTAACGAAAGGGATGGAGAAGAAAAAAGTCATTCACATGAGACAAAGTACATGCAATATTTTTATTTTAGACATGCAAGGAAAGCTGTTTCAGAATTTACTAATTTAAAGCAAGCAGCTGTATACAGGTAACAAAAGAAGCAACATCTTGTTACAGCTCAGCACACTGCATCCAAAGCAAACAGGCATGAGACAATGCATATTTATGCAGCATTAAAACCAGATAATAAATTGCAGGGCAGGGGGAGGCATGGAGGGAAAAAATGGAAATGAAAAACCAACGTTTCCCAATGCTTTCAATGTACAATGCTACCATTTCTCATTTGATAGCCCATCAAGGGGCTTCAAATGTAATGCAGTACAGCAAGAATGGTTAAGAATGGAAGAACTGATCTGCATACCTGCCTAACACATTTTTATAGGTCTTCTTTCAGTGGTAAACCAGTTTGACCATCTTTTGAATTTATTGTTTAATGACAGATTACTTAACTCAGGCTTTAAACTCTCTAGATATAAACAATGAATTATCTTTTCCTTTTATAATATATGTTGCATGTTTTATTAAAAGTATACACAATAATGATCAATATTAAAGGTTTTAAATTCAGAAATATAAAACCATAGTTAACAAATCATTAAGTATTTTAAAAGACAATATATTATAAAACCATAACTAGTAAAATATAAGTATTTAAACTAAGCATTAGAACTCTTACTATATAAATGCAGTATTAATACTTTGAAAGGGTTACTATTGAATAATAGATATTGCAGATGAGATTTTCTGACATAGCTTTCTAGATAGTTCTTACAGGGATTATGTGATATTATATAGCACAAATGCAATTCAATAAATATGGCATTACAAATTTCTTAAAAACCGAATGTTTTACCTTAAATATAACAGTACAGGTCTTACTTTCTTGTATTCCAAAATACACTTTTATGTGATACATTAGAACACATTAGCTCACATAGACTGTAATATAGTCACACTAAATATAGTTTTATTTTTTTCTTTAACATCTGAAGATCAAACTATACTATATATTATCGCACTGCTTATTTAGACCTAGCATTTCAGCTGTATTTTCTTTGGTAAACACTGTAACAATTGCTAGGTTTTCCTCTTACAGGATTATCAGGTGGTGCGCAGATGATAACATGGATGTGTTTAAGATGAAATATTACTCAAAACATTCACAGGTCATATTTTTTCAAGAAGAAATCAAACCAGCTGCAAGCAGGAATAAGCTATATCAAGATCATATATAGAATGAAAATGAAACAGAATAGAGGAATAGGAACAGGAAAAAAATTACAATTGTAAAAGGTATTGGTTCTGAAATGTTCTATTATTATTACACAAGATAGTCACCAAGCTGAGGATATTTTCTTTCATAAGTATATCAGCTCTCTATTTCCTCTGTGAAATTCTGCACACACGATGAGGAGTCATTTAGTACACAGGGACATTAAAATATTCATGACGTGGCTACAAAAGAAATGCACATGTTCTTACACACAGTATACACGCTGACATAGACAATCAGATTTCTAGAATGTTTAGTGCACAGTAAACAAACGAAACTTAAAATTTTTGTTTTTGTTCTTTGGTTTATGGCTGAGTATTTAACTTCCGAACTGACCGGGAGTTCAGATTCAACTTTTATTAACTTTACTGTGTATAATGATCGTCGAAACGACCTACATCCTACAGAATCTTAAAGCACTGTATTTACTGATAATACACGTCATCTGGTCAACAGAGTTAACTGAAAATTCAACTAGAATGCTCCCTTCTCCCACCAGTGTTCAAGTTCATCAGGATTTTACTACACGAAGTAAAGGAATTTAATCCCTTAATGAAAAATCGTTACATCCTAAGGTGACCATAAACTCTTTCACAGATCCTAAAGGAAAATCCCAAGAAAAAGGGGAAAGTAGTCACCTATTTAGTATTTAGTAAGTAGCAATGAAAGTTTTTAAACTGTTCACTTAAGCTTAAAAAGAAATCCAAAGACTATGTCTCTGAGACTAAGGATATTACTTTTTAAATAATCCTTAAGATAGATTTTAAAGAACTCTCCAGATTTGTTAAGTGTCCAGAGATGGATTTCTAGGGACTCCAAGAACCCCCTGAAACTAGAGGCAAAATTATGTACTCATTTTCCTGAGGAACGGGCCCATAGCCCTTCAGACTCTCACAAAAGGGATTACATCTCCACCAAAAGGCTTGTGACTCAAAAGTTTTAAACCAGTTATTTGAGTGCTTTTAAAGTACCCTTATTTCAATATTTATTCAGCTTGACACTGAAATGGTAGGCTACACAGTCATGTAAACGATTCCAATAAAATATGTAACATCCCTTATATAATAACCATTAAATATAAAAGTATCTGAGGAGAAAAGCCAGTTAAACTTTAATCCTCGATAGTTCTTAAACAGTTTAAAGAGATAATTGCCTTTTTTCCCCCACTCAGAATATAGTGGAATGAAGCAGAAGTTAAAATAATATTAATAATAAATTGAACGCCCAAATGGTTCGTTTTCTTACACAAGCTCTCGTTTTTGTAGGGGAATTCTATATCTGTATCAATGGCATTAGTGAGTCACAGTATTTAATAATACTTTTTTGTCAATGAACCTCTTTCAATATTCTCTATGTAAAAAAATAAATGATGGATCATTACGAGAGCAAACTTCCATAAGAAAATATCAGTTAAATGAAATAATTGGGACTATTCTTTGGGATTTAATGTAATGAAACTTCAGATAACGCTAAAATATAAATTACAAACTTGACAAAATTATAGTTGCGAACTGAGTTATATATCCTACTACATTTTGTTGCATGTCAGTACTCCAGCACGTATTCTAGTATGCTTTCTTACACCCAATGAAACTCTTGCTGGGATATGCATTCTCTGTTTTCTGGAGAAAGAATAAGAAAAGTTTAAGTCTGTCAAAATACCTTTCATCTAAATAATACCAATTCTTTGAGTCTTTATATTATAGCTTTTAATCTTTTTTCTCTCTGAAATTTATAGCACACCATGTAAAAACCAACCATGGAGAGCTTATGTCCATTAAAAGAAAAAGTAGTTCCCCATATAGGGCTGAGTACACAGCCATTCCTCCCCAGAGGAGAGTTACAATGAACAAGTAATTCTTTAGGAAAACTTCTCAAAGGTGAAAGACCTTTTACTACATTTAGGAAAGGAAAGGGTTGATGAAAAACCAAACTATTCTTTATAGCCAATGATCCAGATTACTGTACTTAAGAAATTAGCATTCATCAATTGTGAAGAATAATCTTCATAGGGAGAAAACCCTCTTTATTGGGAAAACATCGTTCGAGAAGAAAAGAAAACGTAAAATGCACAAAAATAAATATTCTTTTACCACTAAGTTGCTATAACATGTTTTAAATAACTTCTCAGTTTTGACTGTTAGGGTCTGAAAAAGTTATGCTATAAATAAATGCCTTAATGACCACTTAACATTTAAGGTTGATTTTTAACTAAATGATAGATAATGCCCATAATTAACCAAGTTATTTTTTTCTTATATACAAAGAAACTATTATGATGGATTAAATATAACTCCAGTATTCCGGGTCCTCGTACCACCAGTACATTGTATGGGTCATGGAATAATTATATTAAGAATAGGAGAGGGTGAGAGTAAAGTCTGTCATAACACACAAGGGGCCCTGTGCAGAACTAGACCTACTACCTTCTACCCAGCAAGCTGAGTTTCTTAATACACTAAAACGTCAGTGATTTAGATTATGTGGGAATAAAACCAGAATGAAAATAGGGGGGAAAAAAAAAGTTTAATCCAGTTGTGTTACACAAATACAAACCACAAGCTGCCCTTAGTACAGATTCTTTGGAGATCTATTTTTTGAATAAAGATTAGGCATTATTTTCTATCCGAAATGGGCCTTCAATCCTGGCCAATCCTTTTGCTCATCACTGATTTGCTCCCCATTAAGTCTATTCCAAACCCTTAACATTTTCAAGTTTTCTGCTTCCTCTCTTTTTCCCAGCAGCTCTCCACTAGAGCTTTTCAAAGCCAAGAAATGACAACATTCTCAATTTCGCTCACCCAACTAACGAGGAAAAAAATCTACCGCTTTACCTCATTATCTCCAAGACAATGCTTTATTCCATTCAGACTCTCCCAATTGACTTTTTCTCTCTACTCTATTCCTATTTTCCATCACTGTCTGCATTAGCTCCTTCTCAATATACATGCATGTTCGACTTTCCTCCATACTAAGAATAATCTCCCCCACCCCACCACAAAAAGGACCAGATATAGTGGGAAATGTAGGATAACAAACAGCAGAGAAAAATTAAGTTACACCTGTTCTCAAAACCACCTATGTTCGTTCCTAAGACAAACCCCATTACCTTAAAAATTCCCAGACATTCACCATACTAGGCTGATGACTCAAAGTAAAGCGACCTGAGAAAACTAATGGAAATTGGTAAGCTAGCAATTACCTGAAGGCTAATTTAGTCTTGAGATGAGAAATGCTTAAGTAAACTAGTGGTATTAGATCCAAAACTGAGAACCTAGTCTGATTTTCTAGTACACAATGTAGTCAGAGAAAATAATTTACATTTAATGAAAAATAAATATATAAGTGTAAGTTGAAGTTAGAGCTCTACTCCAGTTTTTCTTGTAAAGGGGCTTCATTTATTCCTTGCACTATGAAGTAGTGTCTTTTGTCCTTCACGTTCTAGAATACAGTGGTCCTTTTGACTGCTCCTCACTAAATTCTCTGGCAAAGTCCTTACTGTCAACTCCAGAACCATATTCCTTGTGCTGAAGACCAAAGAGCCAGAGATTATCCAAACTAACAAAGACCTAGTTTTAGCAATGAATACAAAGAAAAGAACTGAAAGCACTTTATAAGGTAACTTTTAGATGATAGGGTGTCACTCTTATTTCACAAGAAATTGTGAGGAACTAGGAAAGCTAAGTGATTTTTTTTTTTTTTAACATTAAGTTAGCAATGAGCGGCAATAGCAATATGGTTGCTCCAGAAGGTTAGTATCTAAAATAGGAGCACACAAGTGCTTCACTTTATGGACTGAAACTTTCTTAGCAAATTCTATTCTAGTTTTGCCTAACTGAGCAACACAATGTATACTCCTCCATTCACACAGCAGCACTTCGTCATTCTTTTAAAAAATTACAAATTAAGAACTCTACATAAAAATACTTATAAAATACGTGTTTGTTTTACACTTCTGAAAAAGAGGGGTACTCAGACATTTTTCGGAGGTAATACCATTAAGTTACTGTGCTGCTCTAAAATCTTTTCTCACTTGATATACCTGGAGTATCTTCTCTATATCATTACACAGAAATCAATCTCATTTCTTTTATAGGTAACAGTTTCATGCACGGCCATACTGTAATTTCCTTAACCTATTTCCCATTGACAGATGTTTGTGTACATTCCAATGGCTTGATATTATACTGAGCATGTGCCTTGGTGAATTTGTATATTTTTGTTGCATAAAACTCCTTGAAGTGCAACTCATGGGTCAAAGGTGTACATATTTAACCATTAATAGATATCACCAAAGTAATCCTCCAAAACGGAATACAAGTGCTCACAGTAGCAAACAAGAGGGTCACTCTCATCTTTGCCAATCCAAAAAACAAACCAAAAGGTCTAATCGATATTTTAATTTACACTCTTGGTAAAAGAACTATTTGTTTCTTTTTTCATCTGTGAATTATTTACTCGCATCTACTAAATTGTGCTACTGATACTTCTATTATATTTGTTTTATAAATTTGTCTTAAAATGATGGGGATAACTTAACCACATCTTAATAAACCCTGTTCTAAAAACCCATTAGTGATAAATTACTTTCTCTGGCAGTTAATTGTACTTTTTAAATTAAAAAAGCAGAATAATTAGCAAATGTAACTTTTAGACTGTAAAGAAAGTTTTAAGCATACTTTAGGGTCATTGCATAATATTTGCCTTGATATTCTATTTGGATTATAACTTGAAATGCCCTAAATTTAATCAGGATTTTCCAAACATAAAAGATTTCTTGGAATCACTGAATTTCAAATATTCGAACTCTAAATATCTTTACTAAGTAAATTATTTATGGCTAATTGGGTAGAACCTCCCCCCTCCTCCAAGTCTATATGCAATAAAAGTCTATATATGCAAAATTCTGGTCATTTAAACTAGTCCTCCTTTAAGAAATTACCAAATCTCTAAGGTGGATGGGGAAATGAGCAGAAAATTCAAAAGTTTTCTAACTGCCTGCAGGATATATTCAATTGTTTCCGGGTAAAAACTCAATTACCTTAACAGACATTAACAGATTCCGTAATTGAGGAAATTAAATTACATAGTGACATCCCAAAAGCTTTGCTGTGGGTTAGGTGCTAAAGTCAACCATAGATTATCTCCCCAGGCACTGGTTACTGAGTAAAATTTCGGTGAATCAGAGGTGATTTTTACGGCTATTTACGTGCTCTCAAGCACATTTACCCTCCTTTCATAATTCTTTTTTTCTCTTTTTTCCCCTCCTACCTTTGATTCATTTCAGCTAGCCATTTTATACTCCAGACTATATATTACATTAAAAAGATGTAGCAATCTTTAATGTAAATGAAATCTATAAATGGAATCTTTACATATTCCATGTTAACTTACACCAAGATTGCTCTACCTCAGCACTACTGACACTTGAGGCAGGATCATTCCTTGTTCTGGGAGGGATGTCCTGGTCACTGTTGGATGTTTAGCGGCATCTTTGGTGGTCTTAACCTACTAGATACCAGTAGCTCCACCCCGCCAGCTGTGATAATCAAAACTGTGTCCAAACATTCCCAATGTCCCCTGGAGAGGCACAAATACTCCCCGACCCCAGTTGGAAACCACTGAGTTAATCTAATTGTCTCTGGTTGGTGCGTAAGATTATGTTCTACTGTGCTTTGCCTGTATTTGTTAATGTTTCTATAACTGGAATTTTTATTTAAAAAAAAAAAAAGGCAACAGAGGACACAATAAAAGAAAATAATGTGTCCATAGAGAAAAAAGAACTCAAATCCTGAAATTTTTCATAAAGTACATTTTAAAGAAAAAAAAAATCACTGACAGCTAGTAATATGCTCTCTGCAGGTCCTAATCCTAGGGCTCATGCAATCAATTTAGTAATGAGCATTGAAAAGTGGAACAGAACAAAATGTGAGATTGCAAAAATAAGTAAGAGTATTACTTAACAAAAATGTTTTTGGTTTATGTGAATGTAACTATTGTGATATAAAAATGTATTTATTTCTGTGGGTTTTTGTCAAATACTTTTGAAAATCAGATTTACAGTTACTATTTTAAGTTATTCCAACTTTTCATTATTACAAATAGCCCAGAGTAGCAAGAGATGGTTTAAAATGAGTTAAAATCAAACAGCAGGAGGGAATTCTCCAAATTCTGAAAATCAGACAAATAAAAACAGCTCAAAAAAACACATAAATATACAGCAAAATGATTACAACCTGAAAACCAGTGACCAAAGATATTGCCCTGTTTCTTATTAAAAGTAAAGTGAAAGGCAAGATTTGTTCTCTCTTCTGTTTTTTTTCTGTATCCTCCTTTCTGTATTTACCATTTTGAGCATTAATGTAACTAAACCTCACTTACCCAAAATTTGTTCTAGCAGACCCCAATCAAGCTTAACTATAAAAAATGAAAATATGCCGGCATAAAAGACTACAGCCTTGTCAACTTTTAACCCAATTTAAAAGAAAAAGATTTAGGCTTAAAGGTTTTTAACATAAACACTGGTAATTACAAAGGAATTACAGGAATTTGTCTAAGAGGGCTTATTTCAAAATGCTTTTTCCTGTTAAATAATACTATTGTATATATTTGAAAGCATCTGTTTTAAAACAATGTAAGTAATTCTTCAGTTTGACTACCATGCCTAAGTATTCTAAATTGGCAAGATTTTAATTTAAAAAATCCCCAAAACTTCATATTAAAAGGCATTAAATACTTCAAGTATTTATTTACTTAAAATAATTTTAAGTTACAAAAGATTTATTCACCTTTTCTCGAGTCTTACCTTTCCATTTTTATGCAGTCCAACAGACTTATAAATTAATAATTCCACAAAGATGTTGCATAGTATTAAGATATATCATGCAATCCCAGCACTAAAACAAATCAATTTTAGAAGCACTAATTCTTCAAAGAGCACCACCACTTTCTAGACGAGGCAGATCAACAACTGCAAATCCAGTAAAATTGTTCATAAAGTGGATCATCTCCAAGTAGAAGCAAATTCATGAGTGTAACGCTTGCTATTGGTACTTCATTTATTTTTCATTTCTCAGGTTACTTTAGTGAGAAACAATACCAACAGCAAACAAAGCTCAAAAGGAAACCCCCAACAAATTTCAAAAATGATGCTGTTAGTAGTTAGTATAAAAGAAAGGTTGACACATCTCAAAGCATCGATCAACACCATCATGCACCTACTGCTGAGGGTTAAAGCCCAGTATTTAACTATTTGATCTCCATGGATCAAGCAAGGACTTGCTATCATCTCACGTGCAACAGTCCATTTTATCCATGCCACAAAAATGGTAAATTTAGTAGTTACCAATAAATAAGTTGGGGGTCAAAGGGACTAAAGCCTTAGATGGCTCTTTATCATAAGATATCCTCAGACAAACCTCCCCATTCTTCATTCTGGCTCTATAAAATTAAGGAGCAGAGAAAAACTGTTAATTGCCTGACTTTACAAAGAAAATGAACTCTACATTTCCTTTGTCATTGTATGTATGTTTATAAAATAAATCCAACTGTACCACTCCCTGTCATACCCTCCCCCCTAAAAAATCTAACTTAAAATAGGTATTTAATTGGTGGTGGGGGAAAATGTTCCGAGTACCGCTATGAATGTCAATTTAGTAATCTCAGCATGTTGCACTTTAATAATTTAAGAATCAAGTTAAGTACCAGTGGCATGTTAAGGAAACATGTTTTAAATTCCAACCGTCAAACATTAAAGATTGGATAATGGACCAATTTTTCTGGGCTTTTTTACCCCCAAATCTAATTATATATTCAAACAACCAAATACCAAAAGGAATTTGATTTCGGTCTAGAAATGTCAAAACTGAAACCCTGGTTTACCAAAGCATTAAATAAAATAAAAAAGATATCTTTGCTATTTAATCACAATGTCTGATATTTTAGCAATTATTATTCAGGTATACATTTATGTTACAGTCCTTTTACTAACTATAATATGCTAATAAAAAATCTACTTTATCCATTGTCTGCCCTGTTTGCCTATAAAATGAAGGACTACCTAAACAAATTACATGATGTTTATACAACTTGATTAAAAGGCAAATTTTAAAGAAATTTTTCTTAAGAAAATTCTTAAAGGTAAAAATGTGTATTTCACAAATATAAAAAGGACTAAAATCAAAATCATTTTGTGATTTGCATATATCTTTAAGCCAACAGATATTTTCATTATAAATTCAAAGCCATCTTTGGTATTTAGAAATAATTAATTCAAGTAAAAGACCTGAAACCAAATAGAAAAATCACAGTACACTTAACCCTTGAACAACACAGTGTGGGGTACTGACACCGTGCAGTTGAAAAACCAAGTATAACTTCTGACCCCCTCAAAATTTAATTTGTCCCTCAGTATCCTCAAGGGATTGGTTCCAAGACCCCTTGCAGATACCAAAATTCGAGAATGCTCAAGTTCTCTATATAAAACAGTGTAGATTAATTCGTACAGTCAGCCCTCCGCATGCACTGACTTCCAACAACAGCAGATCGAAAAAAATATGGGCATTTACTGTAAAAATCCGAGTGTAAGTAGATGTGCACAGTTCAAAACCATGTTGTTCAAGGGGCAACTGTACTTGAAAAACTAGATAAAAATCAAATAATTAGGACTTTCACAAATTTAAGGTTGCATTTAGATAAGCATTTTTACAGCTATACTTAAAATTTTGTGAGCAAAATAATTTTGTGACACAGACTGAGTGAATCCTATATCCCGAATTATAAGACCAAAAAAGCTACTATAGAGCCAGGTGTTTTGATAAATCCAACGAGAACTGGATTTTAAAATATATCTATATAACCAACTTTAAAATTCCAACTACTGATAATTTGGACAATGAAAATTTCCAGTTAAAAAAATAAAGATGGCATCAGCCTTAGGAAACTACATTGTTCAATGCAGGAAAACCTCCAGGAGAATGATGAATTTTCTTACTATATTACTGAGAAACACAAAAGCTCGTATCTAAAACAGAATGTTTAAAATATACATACCAAGACAATATACGACAGAGCACAGCAGTTAAGATTTTACACAGCTCTGGAGTCTCGATCTGGGTCTGGAATCCTGGTTTTGCCAAATGCTACCTAGGACCAGTCACTGGAACCTCACCGAGCCCCTACTTCATTTGTTAAACAGGCTCTCCTGACTCTTAGGGCATCCTGAGGATTAGCACAGGATGCCTCATATCTAAGTGCTCAATGAGCATTAGCTATCATCAAAGTTTTTTGTTGTCATGGTGTCCAACAAAAACTTTTTTTTAGCTGCTTGCAGAATGCTTTCTCTCATCTTATTACACCATCTATTATATGAACAAAATATTTAAATATTCCCCCAGAGATGTAAACACATATCAACATATGAATGAATCCATTTTAGGAAACAAGCACCTTGTCATCCCTAGATTTCTTACGACAGTATGTTGGTGAATAACCTGAGTAACAAGTTACCCTGTTAACATGAAGCCTTACTATCCCATACGGACTGTAGCTTGGCTTCATAAAGGCCTTAACCTGCAATGTATTATAACTCATTCGAAATTCAGAATGGACTAGCCACCTTCTGCCTTCTCAAGACCTGAATGGCTAAATGATATGAAAAATTGTTCGTTCATACCACTGAATAGAAAATGTCTTAATGTACTATCACTTTGGTTTATGTACAAAACAATGTAAAGGTAGTAGCAGATGAGAGATAGTGCCAAAGCTCTCTTCTAAAGACTAGGAACTAATTAACAGCAGTCAATTTTTTTAACTAGTGTGAGACGGGAGAATTTTACATGGGACCATAGACATCCTGTGATCCTCTCTCCATTTCTACTTTCCCCAATTAAAGATATAAAAATACTACTTTAAAAAGGGAGACATTACTTACTATTAAAAACTTCAATAGGGGAGATATACTCCCCTCCACACGCAAATAAATGTGGACCTTTTTTACCTAACTTTTTTACCTCCTAGTACATTAAATACAATATATGCCACAAAGTAAACTTAGCATATCTGTCATATTGTCAAGTCCAGCAATCTCCCAGTAGAGTTTAAAAGACAATCCAGACACAAGGAGATATCAGTACTCTCCAGAAAAAAACATTAAAATTAAAAGCTGAACTTCAGTCAGTAACTTTAATCAAGAAATGATGAACAACTTGGAGGAAATACCGGGATCTTACAGAATAGTCCACAATAATGAAATATAAAACTGATGAAGGGAAGTGACAAATATGAAAAATTCCCAATTCCTGATCCCGGTTTTGACCTAATTTTTAGAAAAGTCTGATTAGTAAACAGCAAACCAAGGAGGTGCTCGCTTTAAAATCAATTTTGTAAGAGTAGACTATGAGCTTGTAGTTAACATACCTGATGTTAAAAAAATTCTCCCGTGACATGTGTGCAATCAATAAACAACCACGGCTAACTGTACACACATGGAAAAGGGGCTGTGCTCATCTCACTACTGAACAGTAAATGGAATCAGGGCAGCCAACAAAATCTTTCACTTTTGTAAGAACCTTAACCACTGTCTTGGTAATTCAAGACCATTAAATGTACAATGCATTGTCTCATATTTAATATGTCTGTATGTCCCAGATGATGTCATCTCAAATGAACAATCCCCACAACTGTCCCAGGCAGTGACTGAAGCAGAGGGATTCTGAAGAGCCCCCCCTCTCCCTGAAGAGGCCAACAATTAAGTTATAAAGGAGAAAAAGATCTACTTTTCTTCTCTTAGTTCACATTTCTGTTATAACAGAAATGCTAAAAAAAAAAAAAAAGGCTTTAAACACAACAAATAAACAAAACAGAAAAAGATAAAGCTTTCTTTAATAAGAGTCAATTACCTTAATGAAAACATACTATATTTTTCATATTGACTACTCCATTCTTCTCATGCTATAAACTTTCTGTTTGATTAAAGCCACAATTATTGCTAAAGCATAATTCAACTTGGTACCTGAATTAAGGTTATCATTAAGTTTTCAGAAAAAGGGAGCCTTAGCTAAGAAATTTTAAACTTCAGAAATTAAAGGTATAGAAGCATCAGAGATACAATTAACCCAGAAATATAGAAATTAGAAAGGGAAGGAGGTTTATTGATGGCTCTGGTGATTATCAAGGCAAGATAAGAATGTAGTCACTGGACAGAACATGGTTTGCTATCTAAGAAGAGCTAAGATAAGTACAAATACTTTTTAGTTTTCCTAACACAAAACTAGAGTTCAATTATATATA